TGTTAAGACTGACCACTCAATCATTGCAAAGAGGTCCGGGTGTGTTGACATTCAGTCAGTCAGTCAGTCACACGCTCAGAAATTCTGCATCTTTGACACACTCAGTGTCTGTTTCGCACACGTGTGGCGGCATGATTAACTGTTTGCCTGTGCGGACTTCTGTGGCCAGCTGGGGGAGTACCAAACATGGACTCGACCTCGTGAGAGGCGGAAAGTTCACCTGGAACGGCCGCCATACAAGAAATGATACGATGACTTCAGTTGAAGTGAAAGGCGATTGGTCTGCACCTTTATTCACTGAGATACTTCCTGACGTGCTCTTTGTGCGTGGTTTTTTACATGAACCGATCAAGCGTCCACAAAGGAAGGTGTCAGCTTGCACGTTCAGAAGCACAAGCCACAAGCCACTCTCACACTAAGTGTTTATGGAAGACTACTGAAGGGAATTGCACGGACATAAGCGTGTTCATTGATCTGTTCTCCTAAGCGCCAGCAAGCCACAAAAGCTAGAGTTGAAACGAACAGAATCCTAACAGTATCAGAGAGATGCCATGAGACATGCCATCGATACAGTAACCATCGTCATCTCCCTCAACAAAGTCAGCTTCTGGCTTTAGTCAAAAAGCGATCTGCGATCCAATCAGCATCTACTTTGCCTTTGTTCTACCCCCGGTTGTCTGCATGGGCATACTAGAAAACAAGGCACCTGCCAGATCACTCGAGACTAACCATGCAGTGTTGGCCATTCGAAGCTGACCGACTGAGTGGTTTTGTCTGATGCTTGCATCCACGCACAGATGCCATACAATGCAAACATCTGCTGTACAGTCTTTGAGATGTCTCCCCTATCAACACAACCGTCCGTGACAGCATACAACATAGGCCTGACGTCTGGCTGGCGGTCCTTCTCCCTCTCCCTCACTACTGTGTCCATGCTGCGCAGCTCTGTCTCTCTGCATCTCCGTAAAGCGCCTCTTACTGCCAAATACCGACCCATGAAACCCTTACGCCTTATAAAACACCAGGAACCAGTACAAACAACACAAATATACCTGCAGCGGCCATCATTCACGATGCAGTGAAAAAACACTTATAGAAAAGGTGTTCATCGGCATGAAAAAGCGCTATCGAAATCCCATAAACACATCAGCAGGCGAGTTGCTTGCTCATGGCAGCGCTTTCGTGGCGTACGAAGGTGAGTGAGAAGACGTCAGGCGACCTCACTTTGTCGTCCATGTCAACACACTCGTGTGGGGCAATCGTAAGCGAGCCACAGATGGATCGTGGTCAGAGGATCCAGCTTCCAAGTCAGGTGTGTTGACATGAATGATGTCATACTCGCGCTTCGAGAAGGCCTTGTTGACCAGAATGTAGTCAAGGGCTTGCGAATTGCCTTCCGCGCTGAAGATGGTCGTGAAGCGCTCAGGAGGCTCAAGCTGGTCGGTGGTAAGGTTTTTTTTGTCGTTTTTTTTGTTTGTGTGTTTTTTTTTTGCCACCAGACAACTTGCATTGACCGTAACACTCGTCTGTGTGTCCGTGACACTCATATAAATACAGTCCTATGAGCACGCAGAGTCAAACAGGCTCAAGGGGAGGAGGGATCGATCCCCGCCCCATCAGCTCTTCCTCCTTCTTGCTCCTCTTGACGTCAGGTGCGTTGCGGCACACTTGCTGCAGTTGGTCGATGGCTGCATCGTTGTAGTGGAGGAAACGCTGGTGAGCGAGCTCCTCGCTGATGATCTCGGCTGCCATCACTGCCGCGTGTACTTGGAGGGGGAGTATGTGATGAATGTTTCTCTACAAAAACTTGCGCATGGACCAGTCGACTTGGAGGGTGTGTTCATGATGAATGCCTCTATGCGCACATTTACGTATGCATGCGTGGACTTGGAGGGTGTGTATGTGATGAATGTCTCTCTGGAGAAGGATACGGCAGCCTGGACAGGCGACGAGGGCGGCGGGTGTGCTGAGTCGGCGGCTGATCGGTGAAGGCTGCAGCGTGGGGGTTACCGCAGGTCCCCGCGGCTCCCCAAATGTAGGAGGGAACGTGCGATCGGTAGCCTGAGCGAGACGCACAACGCAATGCCGGCAACATTGGAGAGTGGCAAAGGCTTCCGGGGGTGGCCTCGCGACAGGGATGGCCACGCCGTCGTGTCATGGCCAACAGCATGCCCATCGACTACAAACCTATATGTTGCTTACATCTTTTCATTATATCCCTCATAGGCGAGAGACAACTTGCATTAACCGCAACACTCGTCTGTGTGTCCGTGACACTCATATAAATACAGTCCCATGAGCACGCAGAGTCAAACAGGTTCAAGGGGAGGAGGGATCGATCCCCGCCCCATCAGCACGTCCCAGCCCCGCAAACCCGCCCCTCCCTCCCCCACGCAGACAGAAGCTAGTCGCACGCGCGAGGGCGATAGACAAGCGAGAGCGAATCCATCCAGACACATGACTGAACCCCCGACCCTTCCAGCCCTCCTTCTCCAACAGCGCATGAGCCATGTGGGCGATGAACACGTTGGCATCGTGTCCCCACACACCGTCACACGTCACCACCAGCGGGCAGAAGGTCACGCGGGAGTCGCAGACGGCCGACCGGTATTTCTTCTTCTTGGCGGTCTCGTGCTGCCTCAGGATGGACTTAGTCGATCGGTTCTTGGAAGCATAAGACGGTGCGTCAGCATCAGTGATGTAGATGTCAAACGACGCAGCCGCCTGCCGCTCCCACACGCCCCGAGCGACGATGTCCGCCCTGACCCCACCCTCCCCCTCCTTCAACACCACCTCCCGACGCACACCAGCGTCACCCCACGCCATCCCAATCAGCTCGGCAAAAGTGTCCCGCAGCTCGTTGTGGCGACGAATCATCAGGCCGTACCGCTTGCAGCACAGCGCATGGTCGACGGTGAGGGGCTGGTTGCAGTGGTCGCAGCGTGCGGCGAGGCCGGGCGGGTGACGGCCGTATCGTATGTTGAGGGCATCTCGAAACTCCGCAGCATCAAGATCAGTGTTGTTGTCTGTCAGCGGGAGGACGGTCAGCCAGCCGGACGTCTTATATTCGGCGCTGCGGGAGAGGACGCGATGGCGCCGGCGGTCGATGTGCGGCAGGGCGGCTTCCCTCTTGGCTTTGTAGGCGGAGTCCTGCTGCTGCTTGCTCTGGGTGAGGGCGTGGCGGATGGTGGCACGATGGTCGCCAGGGTAGAAAGGAGCCTTGCCTTGGACGGGCTTGGAGACCACCTTGGTGCTCGCATGGGAGGCGGGGTATGCGGCTGCGGCTCGGTCGAGAGGGTCACGTATGCCGGTGCCGCCATGTCGGGCCGGCAGCAGCATCAGGTCGACCTCGGACGGCGTCACAGGGCCGCCGAGAAGGGGCAGCTCCTTGGCGATGGCCTCGCGGAGGGGGCTGAGAGCGCACTCGTCGGTGAGGACGACGCGGAAGACGTAGTCCCACTCCATCTGCAGAGACCTTGTCATTGCCGCGTGGGCCGTGTGCGGGAAGTTGCGGGCAGCAGAGGCGAGCGCGCGCACGCCGTGCACCCGCCCCTTGACCTTCTCGCAAAGGAACGCCGCCCTCCCCCCCTCATCGCCCACATATCCGCCCAGGAACCTCTTGCCCGTGACGATTTGCACCCCCTCGGGCTCGAAGAGCTCCCTTGCGATATGCTCGAGCTCAGGTTTGACAATGAGGAAGCACTTGGCGGCCTCCGGGTGATAGCCGTATGAAGGACCGATGCGGCGCAGGCCTCGAAACCACACTAGGATGCCGTGAAGTTTGCCGAGCGCCGATGAGTCATCCGCATACCAGCACTGTTGCAGCGAAGCGCCGGATGAAGAGGCCGACGACGCCGACGAGGCCGACGAATTCTCCTCCTCACCAACTCCAACACCTTCTACATCAGAACACACACACACTCGCACCATTCCCCTCTGCTTCTGGTGGCGCGTCACTGGCTTCTTCTGGCCTCTCTGGCGCTTCTGATGGCGCATTTTCGTTCTCGTCCGTGTCTGACCCAGACCCATCGCCGTCTGAGTCGTCCCATGCCCCACTCGATGGCATCTCATATCCCTCCTCAGCGCAGGCAGCCCGCAGGGCATGGATGCGGGGAAGGCTGCCGCAGGCGTAGACGAACATCGCCATCAAATCGCCCTGTGTGACGCCTTCACAGCTCCATAGACAGCCGGCTGAGCCTTGCAGGTGAAGCGCGGCGAACCCTCGGTAGGTGTTGAACACATAGCGAGAGCAGCAAGGCCACAGCACGCGGGTGTTCCAGATGGAAGCAGGCCGACTGATGCGATTGAAGGTATTGCTCGCGTCCACCAGCAGGAGCCCCTCGGTCTCGTCGTCCTAGAAGAGGTCATTCACCGCGTGCACAGCCCCTTCGATGCCTCCCTTCACTCCGACGCACAACTGATCAGTGCCACAGGTCGTCTCCAGGTCAGAGCGGGTCACCAAGGCCATGCACTTGCCAGCCAGTCGAGAGAGCACCTCTCCGATGCCGATGGGGCGGACGCCAGGGTATTTGTCGAGAGCGATGAGGCGGCACGCTCACAGGGCCTTGATGTTGTCCCATGGGACGATGGTGTTGGCCAGGGTAGAGACGAGCGAGGCCACAGTCGCGCGGAGGCGGCCGCCCTTGGCACCGTATCGGAGAAAGAAGGTCTGCCAGAAGTTCGCATCGCCACCGGTCGGTCCAGCGCTCCCACTGAGGCTCCGTGCCGTTCGCTCCACGGTCGAGTCCGTGATGTCCACGTCAATGAGGGGAGGAAGGTCGTCACATGGAAGGAAGGCTTCCTCGTGCGGCTGCTGCTGTGGTGGGTGCTTCTCGCGAAGGACATCGAGCACCGTGACTCCCGGGGGGCGCTTCTCGGCTTGAGCGGATGGGTGGAGAACCCCCCCGCCGCCCCTCTCGGTGACGAAGCGGACAGCCGCCCGGACTTTGCCCTCCATCATGAGCTTGTTGAAGATGC